TCAGCAGTTCAATAATTGCTTTGGAAACTAAAATCGGTTGCCAAAGACTGAGCAAAAGGAACTGCGTGCTCTTAGGTTACCTGACATACACTACTTGAGAAATGTCCCATCATTTTCAAGCATTAAACATGCGTCTTTCCTGCCCCAGCACTCACAGGGAACCCAAGAACAAAATATTGGAGCTGCTACTGCTGACCTGTTTTTAAAAGTGTAGCTCTCCTGATCTGCCATTCTCATTCTCAATTAACCACCCAGTGAAAATCTGTGAACCAGAGCAAATATGGAGAAGTAAACTTGTGCAATTGTTCCAGGTCATCAAAGCAAGCAGTGAAGCATATATTGGCAAGAGCTCTGGAACACTGTGGTTATGCTTCAATGATCGCAACAGATCTCTCCATATTGGAAGAGGAGCCCCCAAAATAATTATTCACATGTGGAAAGTACATTATTGCAATGCAGATCATTGAGATAATGGGTTCACTATGTTTTAATAAGAAGAACAGTTTAGAGAAGGTTACAAAATAGGGTATGCTTAAAAGGAAACTGTAGTTTTATTTAAAAAAAATAAAGTTTCCATTGATGAAATATGATGTACTGCTCAACACTAAAAAGAAAACATTTTCTTCACTGTAGGCCAGCTTAGAAAAAAACCCTTTGATGTAAAACAAAGTCTTGGTTATGATGTTCTCATCCAAACACTCTGTACTGGCCTTAAAGAAGAACTCCAGGAAATGCTTTTGTATTAACCCTTGCAGTGGGGCAATGTAAGGGTTAAGCTAGTTTGTGTCTAGGTGCTAAAATAACAAAAAGATACATCCCTCCCGCTCCCTCCAGCATGTTCCCTCCTCTGCAGCACATGGAATGTTCCTCAGTGCCCTCATGTCTATGTACAGTGTATAGACATGATGATTTAACTAAGACCACTGCAGAAGAGGGGGAACGACATTCCAGGGACCAGTCTAAGAAGCCGCCTCAGAGCTTAGTGTGAATATATCTTTGCGGTTTTTGTTAACCTATACACAAACAAGCAGTTAATCCTTGCAGGGTGGGGGTGGCCCCACTACAAGGGTTATTAAAAAACAATTCCCAGAGTTCTTCTTTAACAGTAGTCCATTTTTCTATTGGGCCAGTTGGATGATGGAATATTTAGTCTGATGGTCTTAAGGGCAATAAAATTAGAATAGCCTGCTGAATGCTACATATGAATGAGAGTGCTGGCTGATTAGTTCATTAAAGTATCATTTAATAAAAGGTGGACTTTAAAAGACAGTTTTATGGCATCTGATATGGGAACTGAACACTGTAGTGTCAATGACACATATAATGGCAATCTCTTTCTGAAAAGCGAAACTATTACTAACACATTTAAACCCTTTCCACACCTGTGTGCGCATGTCAATATGTGTGCCCCCCAACACGCAGTATGTGTGCGTTGTCATCCATTCTAAATGGCATCCCAATGCACATACACCGTGCAAAGAAACGCATCTGCCCTTAAGTATACCACAACCCATATATATTGTATACATAAATGCAATGTTCACTGTGGTGTGCTGAGTGCCGGAATGTCTTTTTGGGAATTGAGGCTCATTAACGACCCTCTGAAAGTTAATCGGCTGCTTTAACCTAATGCAAGTCCATCCAGTTATGGCGGCACAGGAATTCTTGCTTTTATAGTGTCTAGTCAAAACCTATTTCTACGAGAGAAGCGTTCTACTATGAGAAACGTAAAAGTATACAATATATATGTTTCATCTCAAGATGGATTGCACTTTTTCTAAAAGTAAAATTTATAAGAAGAAAAAGGTCTTGTATATGAAGAATGTTAACTATCACCCCGGAAAATCACCTCTAAAGTCGATACAACTCTAACAAATACACCAGGATAATGGAGTTACATTACACTGCTTTGTAGAAGGAGAAATATGCATAAATGATCATATATGCACGTTATGCTATGGTGTAAAATAAAAAATGTTAACAAGATTACAAAAATTCAAGAATGTAATGAACCTTAAGTGCTCGTAAGACAAATGCCGCAAGCACACACTGCCCGCTCAGCATTGCAGTCATCGGAAGCCCTCCCCTCAGGAGGGGCAGGCTTACGAGGATCGCAAGTACGATCTGCCTGTCCAATATGGGCAGATTGTACAAGCTTTTAATTACCTTACAACCATCGCAAGACGAAAGTCGTGCAATGGTTGTAAAGTGTATTTTTTTTAAACACCTGAAAAGTCCCTATTGTACCTACTTGACATTGGTCAAAGGTTCAGCAATTATTGAGAGTCATTGGATAACCATGGCAGCTAGACAACCGGTATTTTAAAAAACATAAGTCAGCAACAGCAGCCTCCACAGTCTTAGAACGTGGTTCTTTGGACAAAGTTTAGCATAAAAAGCCCATTTTTGGGAGGTAGAGAAGTAAAATGTTACAACTGTTTAGATTTTTTTTGCCATGTGTCTCCCTGTTGGGGAGAATTTGCTCACTTTCCCTGCGACCACAGACAAAAAACAAATCTGATAGGTGCTCTAACCCCACTATACCATGCTTTTATTTCAGAAATATTTTTGCTCACTTCCTATCCTCTCGACTGTATAAGAAGCGAGAAAAGTTTTTATGTAGGTTGCCATGGATATCACAGGCTGGACTTAGCCGCCTTTGTTCTTCTTCATTACATAGGGGATGTAGCAGAAAATAGATAAAATAGCTTTATGCTTCAAAAGTTCTGCTTACAGTAAATGGCAAGGACACTGCATTTTTTTGACAAGATCAACATTTATTTTTTGTACGTGCTAAAAGTATTGTTAGTCTGAAAAGTGACTAATGCAACCACCACATCTAACAACTGGTAAGGTGCAATCTAATTTTTGTTGTTGGATTTTATTATCCTTTAGGTACAGGTCTAATATAGATACAGAGAAGACATTTAAAAACATATAGATTAATAATGTGAATTTCAAAATTCAATATCATCGCTTGGGATAATAGAAAATAGTATGGCAAGACATTTTTCTTCTATATAAAAACATAGTAAAAAGGGAAAATTCCTGATGAAAATTAGGATTTAGTTAGGCAGGCACTCACTGAAAACCTAGATCTGGTCAGTGCTCTACTGCAATAGGAAGCATCTTGCATTGGATTTAAAGAGACACTATGAAATATTTTCAGTAACTGCACATTTTATTTATAGGTTACCCCTCTATATCTGATATGCAGCCAGAACACTTCTGTATAACTTTGCAGATAAGGATGACCATATACCATCTAATCTGTTTGTTTAGGAACACATAAATCTGATCCTCAGATTAGTTTTTTTTCATCTGATATGCACACCCACTATTTAGCTTTTGTTGAACAATCTATTATTATTGACTATTCTAGTGTGTCTGGCTATCCTCATCTCTAGCAAACAAAAATATTTAATGGGGAAAAAAAATCAAACCTGCCTAACAGCTGGATTAGTCCACGTTTCATTGATCCCCTAATAAGTTTTCTTAGATATACAGAATATGTGAAACAGATCAACAATGTAGATAACCTTAATCATGTATTTTAATGTTCAAAAACATTGGTTTCTATGTTTAGCTGTATATATGTATATGAGGACTGCTGTAGTTGTTCATGACATATTCAGGCTCAGATTTGTGCTGTTCCTCTTACATCAAGTCTACTAAAAAGGGACTGTCTGACTGAAAACAGTTTATAATGACAACAAACATCAATAGTGCTTATGGCAGCTAAAAATCATGGGACCATTAGCTTAGAGCTTTGGTTCTCAACTGGTGGGTCGTGACCCCATGTTCAGTGGGTCGCCGCATGCCTTCCACTTTTCTAGTTGAGAGGCTTCTTGGACTCACCCTGGCGCAGCACTGTCAGTTGTCACACACGAGCAGCCATTCAAAATATGCTGCCCGGTGCCGAGTGTCGACTTGAGGTGGGGTGGGCTGGGGGTATGGCCATCGAGGAACTTCATCCATACATGCACAGCTTACAGCTTCTTCGCGTGCCCTGGCCCCTCTACAGACACGCATGTGAGCTGTATAAGCAATGCACATATGGATGGAGCTCCATCACAGCACAGAAGCCCACACTGGACCCCAGGTTAAGGATCTACTCCAGTTCTCGTAAGGTAGGGAGAGTATATGTGTGTGTGAGAATGTGTCTGTGGTTTGTTGTGTCGGTCAGTGTTTTTGAGGGTCACACTGGTACAGTGCGTTCATTGCACAGCCCCATGCAATTAATGCACTGTACCACGCAATCACACACTACTGTGCGTTCTGTGGGAGGTGCGTTGCATTGCCATTCCTTTTAAAAGCGCCCCAAACGCACATTCCACTCACAGTTCAATCGCCTGCACCGAAACGCGTGGTACGCAATGCCATCCATTCCATTGCAGTGCGACTTGGGTCATGATTTAATGACCAAGGACAAATGTGGGTCCTGAGGTTACACAGGTTGAGAACCACTGGCTTAGAGTAAGCATATTGGAAGAAGTGGTTTTTCTATTCATAAAATCGAGAAAGTGGTACTTTCTACAGGAAACCTGAACTGATAGAAATACATAAGCTGCAATTTAGGATTGCCTTCTAAAAATGCTAGCTTTAAGGTTCTGGCTATAGCACTTTCTCAGACACTGACCTGGAAGGAGCACAATTCCAATCAAGCAGGCATTACTGACCCGCATACCTTTTTTGAGTCTGGGAACGCAGCAAAGCCAATGGAACACGTATTTAAAAAATGCTGATATGTGACCCACTGATTTAAAGTGATACTAAAAAAAGGGAGCGAGCTAGGAGCAGTTTTGTTAATAGTTAAGATACATGAATGCATTTTTAAGTTTCAACCCATGAGTTTAGTGTCACTTTACATTAAATATGAATATTAGTCAAAGGACTTCTTTTAAGTGAGGGAAAGCAATTCCCCCTGCAGTCTGTGTACAAACAAAGATCCTGCAATAGCTGATATGACTAACAGATTGACAAACTAAGCAATTACCAACCTCTTTGTCAGGAGTTGCTGTGTTGTCATCCTGCTGATCTGTCATTGAAGAAGCACGACTTCTGTTTCCTGATGGTGTTGATCTTGGATGACCCTAAAACACAAAAGAGCTTTTGGTAATCAATCTCAAAATTCCACCTATGGACCTCCTATAGTTTTACAGTTATATTTGTATGCTGCCCTGTATTAAAAGTGATATGCAAAGTACATTTTTAAAGTCATTATCATTAGTGTAAAAGTTTGTCAGTCACTGTTATTGAGATGGCCAAGTGATTATAAGTCATCAGCATTGCTGTATGTTATAAGGGCTATTTCCAGCTAAAGCGAGCATGGCGATAGTGGAACAAGAGCCTTTGGCAGGTATTAGGTTTTAAAGTCAGATATCAAACTACAGTGACAACAACAATGCATAAGCATGTCTCCGTGACCAGTTTCTTTTAAAACACATTACAATGCTAATTAACCTGTAACATTACTGCCCTGAGTTACCCTAATAAGCACAACTGATTTGCAATGAAGAAAAAAAAAATTCAACACATTAATGACTACAAAAAATATATTTGGTAGAACAGTAAGCAGAGGGAGGATGAATAAATGTATAACACAGAAGATGGTCTGAGCACCATAAAAGCCATTATATATTTCTCTCACCTCTGCCTCACATAGGTTGCTTTGACTTTATCTGGGCCATGCATTTAAGATAATCTAAAACTTGCTATTTTTGCCAACAGCCAGATTGTCAAGGTGTCTTCAAGAATGATGGGCAAAGGTTTGTAAACTTTTTTAGGAATTAGTCAGTTCTGTCCAGTAGACAGAGATTCCCCCACAAGAGGCGGGGCAAAATCATCTAATGAGACACTTGTTATGTGAATATCTGTTTAAGATACCTTGGCAGATTTCCACTGACTTCCTTTTGTGTTTCTGTGTACCAATGGGGAAATTCCCTTTACTTCTTATCCCAAACAGCAACAAATAAATCCAGAGTTTTAACCCCTCCCTACTCTATTCAAAATCATTTTCCACTAGTACATAAGGGTACACAGGAATCATAGACATTTGGGTTATACTGCCACCTACAAGAGGATATGGACAATGGCAAAATAAAAAATAAAACAGTGGCCAGCCAGCCACTCCCAGCATGCCTTAGTTTTTTAACAAAGGAGTGCCCAGTAAGATCATAAACACAGAGGGATGTGACCTGTATTAGCAGCTGTCACTGCCGTTGCCGGTCCAGATATCGGCTGTGCACGATGCGGCCGGGACCGGCTCTGCGACAGGAGATTAAAAGGGAGTTCAGTAAACTAACTCCCTTTGATCTTCTCTCCAGTCCCGGAATGCAGGAAGTGATGTATATTACATCACTTCCTGCATTCAGTGTCACTCTCCAGCTACAGAAGCTGATGAAGCAGATCTCGGCTTCATCAGCTTCTCTGGGGGTCCCTAGGTGACATTAGGGGTCTTGGAGACCCCTGAAGTCTCCATAATGAGGACCTGTCATGTAAATTGGCTATCACATAGGGGACTTCTTAGCCCCCCATGTAATAGCAATAGAGTTGTGTGGGGGGAAAAAAGTAATAACAAAAAATTTTTCTTTTTTCATTTTTTTGTTCTTTAATTTTTGTAAGTCCCCGCCCCCCACATACACACGCAGATATGCGTCGGTGCGCCTACGTGCGAAAACGACAATTGCGCCTATTGTGCCGCACATGTTACATATTGCCGCAAACGTCAGAGTGAGAGCAATCATTTTAGAGCCATCAATCACTGATAACACTAAACTGATGAGCGGTAAAAGCGTGTATGGGCAATTTTCAGTTTGGTCGTTTCTTGCGATTTTGCGGGCGCACACAATTTTAAGGCTTGACATGTTTGGTGACCCCGTCTTTTATATTTTACCAAAAATATGGGTAAGAATAAATGTTTTATAACATAACGTAGGGAAACTTTTTTTTTACGGTACTTTTTTCAATATATAGAAAAAATTAAAAAAAATAACACCCCCCCAGTGGGGATTATATACCTCCAAAAGAAAGCTCTATCTGTCCCCAGAAAATATTAACATATATTGCAAGGCTATAGTCCGGTCATGCTGACTGGTGACATTTTTGACTGACTGGTGCACAATTTATATATATATATATATATGATAGATAGAGAGAGAGTTAATGATTGCATGTATTACATTGGACATTCAATTAGTTTCATGGATTTAAAATTATCCGATTATCTGAATTGAAAAACTCAGCCAGCCAATCAGACCAAATAACCATTTTTTTTAAATTTAACATAACACACCAAATTAGATCACAAGCCCCCTATGTGATAGCATATTGGAGAGGACAGGTTGTCTTTAAGGTTACATTAGGGGTCTATTAGACCCCTAGGGTCACCTTTCCACTTCCACAAGAGATATTCAATCACAAAATGGCTTGAATAGCTTCAGCCAGGGAATGATAGCTGCCTGCATAGGCAGCTGAACGTAAACACAGCAGGCAGTGGGTGTGTGCAATAGCCAGCCTGCTATTGGTTATTGCAATTTGCAATAGCCACTAGCAGGCTGAGCGTTTCGGCCACGGTGTGGCCGGTGTCCGTGTTGACAATGATTCTCATTATCTATTATATTTATTAGTTGTTGAAGCCCTAATATTTTGCATAGCGAGAATCTGAGAGTGGTTGACTATAATGCCGACTTTAACTCCCCCATTAGAACGCCTATAAATTGGGCTTTAGCTTGGGGTGGAGCTAACAGCCAGCAAAAACAGAAAAAAAAATATGCTTTTATTTCCCAACCTAATCACAGGTCTAAACAGGACCGAGTGCTACATGTCCTTTGTCACCCTGGGCTTCAACACAGTTTATATTAATTGTTCTTTAGGGATGGATTACACCATCTCCCTGTGTTAATCGCATGACTCCGTGCAATTACAATGAGGTACATTGCGTGTAGGGATGAACCAATATAATTTTTTCAAGACCAAGTACCGATACTTTTCCTCAAGTACTCACCTATACCAATTACGGATCAATTTAGCTCAAATACAAGATAAAAACCTTGAGCACTTGAGAACCAACTGCTGGGAACTGGAGGGTTCAAATGAGCAAAGGAGACTTACTGAGACACTACATGTCTCTTGCAATAAGGAGCAGTGGCAGGAAGGTGCTGCCTTATACTTAATGGCAGGAACAAAGAGCAGAGTGGATGCGCGTTGCCACCTAGTGATGCAGCACTCAGCTCCTTAGCATTTACTAATGCCACCCAACAAATCTAATAACCGAATAAAGTACGGTCTCCAAAGCTATTGCTGAGGATGTGCACATCCATATAGCTGACAGAAAGAGATTTGCTCTAGCAGCTTGTAACAAAGTCTTTATAATTTTTTTTTTAACCCAAATATCTATGAATCATGCGTGCCTCAATGAAGGAAAATGAAATTGTTTTGGCTATACAGTAATTCTATTACTCTTTTGTAAGTGTATATTAAGCAAAAGGTCATTCTTTCAACTTGTTCATCAAGACTGACAGCACTGTTGAAAACAATTGAGAACAGATGCATTCCTTATAATCTCTCCAATACCTCTTTTCTTCTCTCCGATCACAACCTTATAATTTTCACAGTCTCCCAATCTTCGAACCCCTATCCCTCCAAATCAGTAAACTATTGCATGTAGAAACCTTCACCACTTTATCCCTTTACTTCTCTACAGACTACTTATTAGACAAAATCTCGCCCCTGTTTTGCCCTGACCTGATCACTTCTGTCAACAACAGCACCCTTCAATCCAGCCTGGACATACTCGTTCGTCTTGCTACAAACAGAATTAGGCCGCAACAGCTAAAGTTCTGACAAACAGGCAACAATATAAGTCTCAAAAGACATAGCCACGCTCTTGAGCGAGTGTGGCATAAAACTGTATCCCTGCAAGACTTCACCCTCTATAAATCTGCCTTCTGAAAATACATTTCCTCCCTCTCTGCTACCAAACAGGCCTATTACATCACTTTCATTAACACCCTCCCATCAAGTCCTTGTTGACACTTTTTTTTTAGCTTTAGTGGTCTACTTGTCCTCCACCGACTAACTTATTCACTGCCTAGGAAATTGCTAATCATTTCAAAAAGATAGATGCAGTTAGTGATGCAGTCTCCATTGTCTAGATACCACACCTACTTAACTTACCATGTCTACCACCACATTCCATATTTTCTTCTTTTGACCCTGTTACTACAGAGGTGGTTGCTAAACTTTGCATGACGTTCATCTAGCCAAGATGCCCCGGGGCACCATTACCTGGTAACTAGTCCGATCATACTCTTGCTCTATTCTTTCCTCTCTAATGCACAACTTTAATACTTCCCCCTCTAGTGGCATCTTCCCTTGCCCCCTAAAACATGCAATGGTGACCGCCATTCTTAAAAGGCTGACACCAGACCCCACCTTTCTTAACAACTTAAGACCTGTCTCCTTGCTTATGTTTATCTCCAAACGTCTACAACACCTAGTCAACAACCTTCTGAGCCGCTACCTCACTGACAACCTTCTTAAGTCTTTACACTGTTGCTTTTGCTGGCAACACTCGACTGAAGCTCCCATAAAGCTCCCTAACGACCCACTAACCTCTAAAACCAATGGCCACAACTCATTACTCATACAACTAGACCCTTCAGCTGCCTTTGATAAAGTTGACACCAACTCCTGCTCATAAAACTCCAACTTTTTGGCCTCCTTTGCCACCTCATTGGCCTACCAATACACAGGCTATCCCCCCTTCAATGTACAAAGAATGCTGCTGCCAGACTGATTCACCTTACCAACTGTTCACTATCCGCTACCCCACTCTGCCATTTCCTCTATCTGGCTTCCGTTCATCCAATTAACATAATTCAAAATACTAACTAAAACAGGCAAAGCCACCCACAACTCTCCTTGTGAGCACTATCAGAAATCCTGTCTCAAAATATCACCAAAACGGTCCTCTTTGCCCCTTCCATTACCTCCTGCTATCTAGCTTCCTTGTCATCTCCATCTCTCACCTCCAGGACTTCTCCAGAGCCTCTCCCCATCCGCTGAAAATCTCTCTCTGCTCCCTCAATGG